GAGAGAGAGAGAGAGAGAGAGAGAGAGAAGAAGAACACACTCGGGGTGAACGAACCTGAATGGTGTGGGTCTTGAGCAGAGGATGTTCAAAAGCCGGTTGTTGATTTATAGGGATGCAATCTATGATATCTCCATCTGGGCTCTGTCAAATACCGAATTTAATCAAGATTTCAGCAGAAACAAATTTACGGGGATGCCAAAAAGATGAACATTTCGAAGAAGTTGGAAAAAAAACGTTGATGTTTGCCGCCATTTGTCTCGGGAATCCCAACCCAGTGGAGAACGAAGATCGTTCGACGTCATTTTTCATTATGTACGCTATACCTTAATGGATTCGAGAGCGGTCTTGGGCTTGTTCGGCATCTTCAAGTGGCGACGAACCTTAACCTCATGGAGATCGGGAGAGTCGCCTCCGGCGGCGGAAGCTGTGATTATCGCCGCCGTTAGGACAAGAGCCACCGCTAAGCTCGCCATTGTCAGACTACTCACGAAGGAGCGATGACAACCCATGATTGGATTATAAAAAAAAAATTGAATCTTTTTAGGAGATTTAGCAGTGGGGAATTTGAAATTTGGGACGAGGGGAAGCTTTTGTGGATCCCTCTTAATTCTTGGCACTAACTGTCTCGCCTGACCTTTTTATAGAGGATATGTTAAATGATTTTTATTTAAGGAGAGAGAAGTGTTTCGGAGTGTTAGAAATGTGTTAATTTTTATTTGAGTAATATTCCCATTTGGGGGTTTTAACCCTAATAACCCACTTGGGTCGCAGCAATTTCAGGGTACACCACCGAAAAAAAAAAAAAATTTTGCGACCTTATTACGACTAATATATAACTAATATACAACTAAAATAAGAGTAGTTTATTAGTCGTAATAAGTTGTATATTAGTTATATATTAGTCGTAATAAGGTCGCAAAAATTTTTTTTTTTTTCGGTGGTGTACACTGAAATTGCTGCGACCCAAGTGGGTTATTTGAGTAATATTCCCATTTGAACAACCATATGAACCTATTTATTGACTTTATATATATATATATATACATGTGTGTGTGTGTCCGTTATGAGATTGGAATCATGGATGTCCACATGCATTTGCTATACGTACGATATGGTCGCCGAAGGTCTTCCAATTAGAATATTGTTATTATAATAATCTCCTAATCAAATCTAGTTTGCCAGATAGATGTTCTGCGTTTATTGCATTAAATTCAAGGAAAAATAGTATCCTCTTTGTAATTGAATTAATATATATATATATATATAGTAATTATGAACAAAAATACTAACTTTGGAAAGTGTCTATTTTTATTAATTATAGGAACACGGACATATCCAAACAATGCACATTAGATGGAAATTTGAAATTTGAAACTTTTACATGCATGTACGATTATTATTATTATTATTATTATTATTATTATTATTGATAGAGAGAGAGAGAGTGATTGGATTGGGTGAGCAAAACAGTAAGCTACAAAGGAAAGCACAATATTGTCTCCCCCCACGTCTCATCTTTCCTTTCATTTACTTTCAGTTATGTTTTTTTTTTTTGGTAAATGTAAATCTTAGATACGTAATGTTCTTACAGAGACTATCCCCTAATTGCAGCCTCAAGTTCCATACAATACAGCCAAAAATAGCAACCTAGGAGGAGAGAGTTGATAATAAAGTATTACGTAACATCAAAATGCCTAAACCAAATGGAGAGGAATGAATCATGTGTCTGAGCAGCATCCCAATCCCGGCGGATTGAAGAAAGTTTGCGTCGTGTTGTTAAGAGAATGTCCTTGACGAGAGCTTCACATGGTCTTGATTGAGAATTGTGTAATCGTGAGTTTCTTTCAGTTATGTTTCCATATTTCACTTCATTTCTGTTAATTAGGATTAAAAATTGAGGAGATTTGGAGTGTTGTATATACATATATAATACAATAGCCCAAATTAAATAAATAATTCTAGAGTTTTAAGAAATCATCTTTCCTTTTTTAAAATTAATCAGTCTAAATGATTATAAGATCACGGATTGTGGATGGTGTGACATTTAGAAAACCATAGACTTAATTGAGAATTACGAATAATTTATATTAGTTAGGTTTTCTATTCAGTTAGAGTTATTTCTTAAAGAATTATATTTTAGATAGAATTAAGACTTCTAAAAAAAACTGTTGTTTTTTTACTATATATATATATATATCTAATTTTTACTATAGGATCCGGATATATATATATAACAACAATAATCCTCTACAATGTTATCACGGTACGAGGTTTATATGTTATGTCGTATCCAACGTAACAAACTCAAGTATGTTTAATTTTTCTTAAAATATAATAAAAAAAAATAACTTGTACGGTTTGATTTGGTTTTATCACTAAAAACCACGAAGATATTTATTTTCATCAATTGCTATATACTTCTCGTGCAATTTTGAAGGATCCGGATTTCCTTCTTTTAGTTTTTACCTTCTCTACATGTAAGGTGGCTATAAATTGTTTACCATTGTAGGTTGAAATGTATTCGAAGGGCGAACCAACTGCGAAAATTCCGCTGGTTTGGACAAATCCCGGACACTCGAGGTTGTAGAGCATCCTGTTGTGTGGTAATCATCAGCCTGTTTGTTGAGTTTCCATTTTGTACATGAGAATGGCTTATCAGCTTAGGCCTTAAACGAATAGCGAAAAAGGACGAGACCGGCTCGGGGAAACTTACAGTCCAGTAAACGACGAGCCTGGGGTAATATAAACAAATGCAAGAAAAATGGACATCAAATGCGTTTGAATCATGACTCTACGGGAAAAAAAAAATCAGAAGTATAAAGGATTTGTACTAGCCAAAGGATTCTTCCTTCGTCGATTCCTCCTGAATCGTGAGTTGAATTCGAGAGATCTTTGAGCTTTATCGATGCAGCGAAAATGGCAGAACGAAAAACACAGGAAAAATAAGAGAGAGAACACAAGCGATTTACGAGTTCAGATTGAACGTTGTGTTCAATCCTACGTCTCGGGGAGAGAGGGATTTTTCACTATGAACGAATGAGGTTACAGATACAAGATCTTGAATTGAAGATAACAATCTCTGAGTACTCAAACCAGAAAATGAGCTTATGCCTTTTATACGAAGAAGAAGACCAAAGCCTCTGATTGTATCCGAGTCTTCTCCTGAACGGAAACCTTCTGAACCAGAAAGAGTCTTTACTCTGTTTTGAGTTTTATCAGGCACATTCACTTCATATCTCCACCTTGCCAGAAAACTCACATCGAATCACCTGAGTTATTCCCATATAACCCTCTCTCCTGTTTCGGAACACTACGTTCCTGACATCCTTAGATGTTTCAGCAATCTCTCCAGCTTATTTACCTGAATTGTCTTGGTTAGCATATCAGCCGGATTCTCATCAGTGTGTATCTTAAGGACCTGTATATCTCCTTGAGCTATGACATCACGGATGAAATGAAGGCGAACGTCTATGTGCTTCGTTCTTTCGTGGTGAACGCTGTTCTTCGAGAGATCTATTGCGCTTTGTGAATCGCACATGACCTCCACTGCTTTTCCTCCAAAGCCAAGTTCATCAACCAAACCTTTTAACCACAATCCTTCTTTTATCGCATCTGTAAGAGCCATGTACTCAGCCTCGGTTGTTGATAGCGCCACTACATTCTGAAGTCCTGACTTCCAGCTAACAACGTTTCCACCCACAGTGAAAACATAACCTGTCACCGACCTCCTCTTATCCAAATCTGCCGCGAAATCTGAATCGCAATAGCCTTTGACTGTTAAATCCTCTGTCTTCTGAAATTTCAGACCATATTCACTTGTTCCTTTCATGTACCTTAAGACCCACTTAACTGACTCCCAATGCTCTTTCTCAGGCTTACTCATGAATCTGCTCACAACTCCAACGGGAAAAGCCAAATCTGGTCTTGTCCCAAGCATTGAATACATTATACTCCCAACTGCATTTGCATATGGAATCGATTCTGCAAATTTGTGATCAAAGTCTTCTGGTTTCTTAGCTGAGCAGAGCTTAAAATGTGTTCCAAGTGGGGTCTGGACTGATTTTGCTCCATCCATGTTGAATGATGCTACTACTTTCTTCACGTACTCTGACTGTGATAACACCAACGACCCAGAAGCTCTGTCTCTGTGAATTGACATACCCAGAATCTTCTTTGCAGCCCCAAGGTCTTTCATATCAAATTCAGTTCCTAAAATCTGCTTTAAATCTTCCAAATCTGATCTTTTCTTGGCCGCCAATAACATGTCATCGACGTAAATCATGAGATAAACTCTGTTATCTCCATCAATTTCTCTGTAGTAGACGCAGGGGTCGTATCTACTCCTGATCAGTCCCTGACCTTGCACAAACTCGTCGAATCTGATGTTCCAACGCCTTGGAGATTGCTTTAGACCGTACAGTGATCTTTTTAGCATACATACACTGTCTTCCTTGCCAGATTCTTCGAAGCCTTCAAGTTGCTCCATCAGAATCTCCTCTTCTAAGGTTCCGTGCAAGAAAGCAGTTTTTACATCCATTTGGTCCAGTTCTAGATCTTTGTGAACCACAATTGACAGTAAGACTCTGATTGAGACGTGCTTTACCACGGGAGAGAATATTTCAGAATAGTCTATTCCCTCAATCTGCGAGAACCCTTTAGCAACAAGTCTCGCTTTGAATCTCGGCTTCTCAATAAAGAAATCTAGAGCAGTAGGAGAATGTATCAGATGCGGAAGCTTAGAAAGGGAGAGGAAGAGAACGTGTGTCACTAAGTCTGTAGAAGAAAGAAAGAAATTCTCTGTATATTGACTTGAAATATAGTTTACATTATATAGAACACTTTCTGAAAGAGATAAAAGGAAACTAGAGATACAATATTTGCACATAAGGAATGAAGATGAATTAGTGTTGATACATTCCTGATTTTCTTCAATCACTCAACGTTCCTAAGCTTGGAACCTTCTGAATGAACTTGTGTCTTCTTCTCCTCTGATTCTCGATCTGTTTCTTGCATCCCAAGATGAACTTTGTCTCCTCGCTCATCAACATTCCCCCTCAAGATTGGTCGGCGATATTCGGAGAGGCCAATCTTGGAGAGGATTTTGTTGAGAACAAATGAACTTGTGGCCTTCGTGAGTATGTCCGCAAGTTGATCCTGACTTCTCGTATACATTGGTGCGATTGTCCCTTGTGTAATCTTTTCTCGTATGAAATGGCAATCGACCTCTATATGTTTCGTCCGCTCGTGAAATACTGAGTTGGAAGCAATGTGTAAGGCCGCTTGGTTGTCACAATGTAGAGGGATCGGCTTATGAAAGTTGATACCGAGATCCTCTAGTAATTGTTTCAACCAAACTAGCTCGCTTGTAGTGTTCGCCATGGCCCGGTACTCGGCTTCTGCACTCGATCTCGCAACAACGGTTTGCTTCTTGCTTCTCCATGTGACAAGATTCCCTCCAACAAATGTGCAATATCCAGTGGTGGATTTTCGGTCGGTTCTGTCTCCCGCCCAATCAGCATCACAATATCCGATTAGCTCCGTGTGTTTGTTGCATTGCATCCATAATCCTTTATTGGGCGTTCCTTTCAAATATTTAAGAATGCGATCCACCATATGCCAGTGTGTTGTTG